ACTAAATGCTTTCATCACATCAGCGCGAACCTTATACACAGACCGTACGGTTGACTCATTGGCATCATATTCCCATCCCACAGCAACGAATGTAGTACCATTACTTACACTTTTTTATTATATTTATCTTTCCCTGCAGAGAATACACGTCTTCATCACTTGGCTGGATCTGGAACCCTAACACTCTTCTTGTTAACCTTAGACCCCAGGTGACGTTCCAGTATGTTCAACCGGCTCGCCCCGGGTGATGTTCCAGAACACGCACCTTTTCCCGCCACTGTTTAAATTTCCAGCGCGGGTTATCAGGTTCCCTTGTGACTACAGGCATCCCACGCGATACGGAAGGGTTGCGTCCCTGGAAAATTGACTGTATCGCGAAATTCCGTAACGCAAAACCTATTTTCCCATTGATTTCCATTATAAAACTGGAGATGCGTTCCTAAAGAATTTTTTTCGGCCCCAAAAAAGTAATTCAAGCACTTTTATGAATGAAAATAAACATTTATAAGCACATACAATACAGTACATTATATAATTTATGATATACCTTCTTAAAACATCAAGCTTAATATCCAATGTAATGCCTTTACGGCTTCTTTTGCGGTCACTTCCACCTGATGGCCTCTTTCCAGTCATCTTGATAAGGGTAATGCACTGTACTATACTTACTGTATGTTTGTAACTATTAAATCCAACTGCTGGGGCGAGAAACATGCGCGCACACTGGATGTAAACAATGGAGTGACTCTTGGCGGTAGCAAACACCAAGAAATCGCAAAATTATTGGTCATAATTTACAAATTCCATAAGAGAGAAATTCCGCAACCCGGGGTTCTGTTATAAAAGTATTTATTTGTGGAATTATTATTTTATGTATTACTTGGTCTACCAAACACAAAGACAGCCAGACAAACAGCCTTTTTATAAAAAATAATGCCCAAAAAAATTCAAAATGAATTATTTATAGGAGATATGTATTATGATCAGTAAATATAAACATTATTGGCCACTTCGGACACAAAGAAAAGCTAAAAATAGCCCTCTTATCTCCCTCCCTCTTACTCACAAGGAAGCTTCTTGGTAAATAACTTTTGTTTGTTTATTTTCATTGTTTGTGTAGCTTTTAGTTTAGTATTAATAAATGATAATGCTATGATTATGTTGTAAATTTATTTATTTGTGGAATTATTATTCTGATAATTATCAGGTACCAGCATGACCTTTATCCTCCCTCGGAACATGGGAGGAGCATGGGTAGACCCAGGGCAGTCAGTAACCATTCGCCAGTGATCATGGAGAGAAACCCCTCAACTTCTCGTGCCCACCCCCCCTCCCCCATCCTCTTCACTGATAATTATTATACCTCTCCTGCCCTGGCCAAATTCCAACTTGAACATGACACCAGTTCTTGTGGGACAGTACATAAGAACCGGAAACCCTGGCCTTGTTTATTGGTAAACCTGCCCAAGGAGAAATCCAGCAATAGCAAGCAGACAAGATGCTTGTAATACGCTGGCAAGATAAGCGTACTGTACAGATGCTGTCAACCGTTCACAAGGGTGAAATATTTGACAGTGGAATAAGGGACTGGACCTAAAGAGAGGTAATGAAAAAACCTGACGCTGTCGTGGACTACAATGTCAACATGCGCCTCGTAGACAAGAGTGACATGCAGGTTGGCGCAATTGAGTGTTTCAGGAAATATCTCAAGTGGTACAAGAAGATGTCCCTACACCTCTTGGACATCACCATCCTGAATGCATACAACTTGTACCTAGTAAAAACCTGGAAAAAACCCTCTCTCAAGGTTTATCAGAAGCAAGTGATATTGCAACTCCTGGAGAAATATGGCACCATAGTGACAACTGTACCACGACGTCACAGCCAAGCAGGCCTACCTGACAGACTGCTTGCACATGACTTGGTTGTTCGTCACAACATGGACTTCCTACCGACTGGTCCAGGTGGTCTTAAGGGGCAAAGGCAGTGTTAAGTCTGTGCTAACACCACAAAGCGCGCAGCTAAGCGTAAGGACATGATGACGTGGTGCAAGGAGTGTGACGGTGGTCTCTGTCCACCTTGCTTCTTGGAGTACCACTCTAAGAAAAAATTCTAGAACAATGTGACACAAGCGTGTAAATAGTGCTGTAGTAGTATAAGCGTATTTGTAAGGAACAAAGTGACATATTTGTGGAAAAAGTACACAGTTGTATGCATTCACTCGTCACTACCCACGGGCGCTGGCAGACAGCTAGCTAATCGTCAGGGTGGCACCAACACCAACTATCACCACCACCTCACCTCCTACGTGCGGTCGGGGGGAAGCTTCTTGGTAAGTAACTTCTTTTGTTTGTTTATTTACCAGTGTTTGTCCTTTTTATAATGTTGTATCAAAGTAATATTACTAAAAGTAGTGTAGTATAGTACAGGTATTACTGGATAATAATGGTATGATAATGTTATGAATGTACAGTATTTATTTGTGGAATTATTATTCCGATAATTATTTATTTGATTTACTTGCTCTACCAAACACAAAGACAACCAGACAGTCTGGCGACAGACTGGGTGTGTCTCGCCGAACAGTCTTTATGAAAAGTAATGCAAATAAAATAATTTCTAAATTAATTATTTATAGGAAATAAGAATTTTTATCAGTAAAAATATGTATTTTTGGCCATCTTGGACACATAGGAGACGAGAAAGACCCCTAATGCATAGTGACCACGAGCTGCTCCCTGTAAGAAAACCCACCTTTCTCCTTATTTCACTCGTCACTGAAGGACAATATATAGTTTTTTGACGTCTTCATTGTTTTATCATTTATTGTATAAAGGTACTGCTCTTGCCTTCGCAAGCGAGATGTCACGGGTTCGATTCCCGGGCCGGTGGAAGTTGTTTGGACATATTTCCTAGGCCCCCATTAGTCCCTGATCACCCAGCAGTAAAGTAGGTACCTGGTGTAAATCGAAAGTTGCGAATTCGTATTCAGGGACAAGTTGTTGGAGCTTCCAATAACTTGATGACATAAACCATTTACTCTTCAGGCTTCTATGCCCTTGACTCTTCAGGCTTCTATGCCCTTAACTCATGAGACATAAAGGCAAGCATGAACTTAGCATGCTTCCCTGTTGGGCACTGTAAACGCTTCTGCGCTTCACCTTACACAAGGATGTAGGGGAGTGCCCAATAAATAATAATAACAAAAATAAAAATAATTGTATAAGGGTTAAAATTTATTTTTAGAAAAATTGATTTCCCCATTTTACCCCATGTGTGAGGCAGGCGGGGATGGGGGTACGGCTAGCGCCACCCTAGCCAAGGGCGAAGGGGTTAACAGGTATCATGGTAGAGAGTAGGTAAAAGTTACAAAAAATTGCACCAAAAACAAGCAAGGCACAGAAAACCATCTGCAAACATCAACCAAAAACCACAGGGAAACAAATATAATCGCTGGAAGCTGGCGCCACAAGCCGTGCTGCCATCTCTTGACAGTCGCTGTTACTGCGGTTACTCTCTCGGACCCGCCACTGTCTCGTGTGTCCCATGATAATTCCGCGATAACCCAGATCAATCAGTGACAAGCATACACATGGTCGCAATTAAGGATACAATGATAAGCCAGATCGGCAAATATCGTGTCCCATGATTATGGAGGATACATGTAAATGATTTTGTTTTCACAGTTTATACAGTATGCCTACATATTTAAGTGTTAATGTTACAGTGTACAGTTAAAGCTACTTTTAGGGGTGAACCTAGTGATCGGAATAATCTTCACAGGCAGTTAGAGGGTTTACTTTACATTTTAGGCATAGCTCTCCAAATTCCAGAAAAAACCCAATATGGGAACCCCCAGGTCCCAAGTATGTGTGTTTAATGATTATCTATGGAAGGGTCACTTACAGCTTATGGATAACCTCCAGAAATGGAACCCATCCATAACCCGGGGAGTGTCCATATGTTTTATACAAGGTTTCTTTACGAACTGTATCAACCACTCAGAATGGTAGGTATGCCTGGTTGCAATAATACATGTTGCTCTTCTTTATAATATTTATGGATGAAAAGAAGTAATTTAATTTACATTAAAACTTCCTCAGAGAGCAATGATCAGATTTCTTGTTCAGTTTGTCATGTTGTATGACACCTAGTGCGTTCGAGAAATATTTTTGAGAATTGTACACACAATTATGGTCCTTCTGAATTTTATAGGAAGTGAATTTCAGTTCAGCTAATTACAATCTAAAACCCTTATAAACCCATCATTACATTTCTTTATCACATGTTTATTAACATTAAGATGTCACACCCTCTACTGCATTACAAGTCACCAAAACATGGAGAGAGAGAGAAACAAAAATCTCTCTCTCTCTCTCTCTCTCTCTCTCTCTCTCTCTCTCTCTCTCTCTCTCTCTCTCTCTCTCTCTCTCTCTCTCTCTCTCTCTCTCTCTCTCTCTCTCTCTCTCTCTCTCTCTCTCTCTCTCTCTCTCTCTCTCTCTCTCTCTCTCTCTCTCTCTCTCTCTCTCTCTCTCTCTCTCTCTCTCTCTCTCTCTCTCTCTCTCTCTCTCTCTCTCTCTCTCTCTCTCTCTCTCTCTCTCTCTCTCTCTCTCTCTCTCTCTCTCTCTCTCTCTCTCTCTCTCTCTCTCTCTCTCTCTCTCTCTCTCTCTCTCTCTCTCTCTCTCTCTCTCTCTCTCTCTCTCTCTCTCTCTCTCTCTCTCTCTCTCTCTCTCTCTCTCTCTCTCTCTCTCTCTCTCTCTCTCTCTCTCTCTCTCTCTCTCTCTCTCTCTCTCTCTCTCTCTCTCTCTCTCTCTCTCTCTCTCTCTCTCTCTCTCTCTCTCTCTCTCTCTCTCTCTCTCTCTCTCTCTCTCTCTCTTTCAGAATACAGGGTATATTGTTGCCTTTAAATAATGCCACTGTACTTCCCTCCAGATAAAATTATACAATTGCATAAGCAATAAAATTAAATCTAATAATACTACAGAGACCTACAATCTTACCTCATCTGTTTCTTTTCATTTTCTTCATACATAAAGTGAAGGTACTTCTCATAATCTTGTTGATGGCTGGGGGTAAGATACCTTGCAAAGAATCGGGAGATTGGGTGCTGTAAGATATAATAACATGTGTCAGTCTTATCCAACACTATACAGGATTGATTGTTTGTGGTAAATACATTCCTGGCAATGCAACAGTATACGTCACATGTCAACGACTCAAAAAAAGCTTTAAAGACTAAAATCAAATAATGAAAGGTAAAAAACATAAGTAATAAATAACATAGAACTTTCGTGTAAACCATTTAAACGTTAATAGATAAAACTCATAGCTTGTGTAGGTCGGTTCCTCCACGAAAGAGAGGACATCCCCTCCCACACTACCCTCCCCAGCACCAAAGAGAGACGGTAAGACCAGTTGCCCCCCCCCCCCCACTGGGAGTGGTGCTTACAACGAAGATCTCTAAGAGTGGTTCACTGCACCAGGATGTGTCAAACAGTTGATGGGACCAGGCAGTCATCACAATAGGGGGGGGAGGGGGGGGGTCCTCTACATATAATAATAAAAAAATAAAAGTATTTGGCCAATACAGAGGTGGGCCAAAACAGTTTCCTGGCAGCGTGAGTCTCTGATATCGTGGATGTCGCAGAGCTTGTTTGCTCCGACAGCATCCTACCTGCATTGCCAACTCAAGTGGATGGCAGCTCTTATTACTGGCTTCATATCAAAGGAAAGTAGAGGGGAATAATGTGCCACAGGCAAAAAGCACCTGCTTTTGCCACAGCATCAGCATGTTCATTCCCCTTCTCCCCCATATGGGCCAGAACCCATAAAAAATTTTAAAATATCTACAACTAAGGAGAGGGAGATAAGACACTAGCTAAGGCCTGGAGAGTGCTACGAGAATCACTAAAAATTTTAAAATTGCTTTGAGGTTGGGTAAAAATAATTTTGAAGGTAAGTAAAATACCCAAAAGCTCTACAGTAAAAATAGATGCCAAGCAGGGAGACTAACGTCCCAACAGAATTTGGGAAAGTCCACCCCAAAACCCACCCAACCCCTGCATCTGACTTAGAGCCATTGGTGTAAACAGGGATGGTCCCACTGAGAGGAGGCATGCTCTAATAAAAGAGAATGAACCACACAGGGTAGCAGTAAGTCCTTCCTTACATTAAAATACTGACAAACTTAAACTTTAGGGTGAATCCAAAGAGTGGCACTAGGGAACCACATGATGCATACCTGAATAGGAGGAAGACTAAGAATATTCACAACCTCGCCTACCCTGAAGCAGAAAGGTCATGGGAGACTTGAATGCCGAGTCTAGTGTGGGGACAGTCTCGTCAACTACCCAAGAGTTGGTTACAGACTGCGGAAGGTGGAGGCAAACCAACACTGGACTTGAAGATACTGACGTTGAAGATCAAGGGGTAGCTCATCAGCATCAACTAGTAGACTTGGGATTGGTGAAGACTTGACGGCACCGGTCATCAGGCGCACCCCAGCATGATGAATAAAGTTCAGTGTATTGAGTCTAGCTTCAGTGGCTGAGGGGTACACCGCACACCCATAATCCAGTTTGGGTCTAATTAGCATGTGGTAAAAGTGTAGCATAGCTCCCCTGTCAGGACCCCGCGACGTTTGCCCCCAAAACTCTCAATAACTTGAGAGCACGCTGGAAAGACTCCTTGAGGTAACGAATATGTGGCTGCCACATAAGCCAATTGTCGAAGATAATACCCAGGAAATGGGTCTCTGTGATACACTGCACACAACAACCATAGAGCAATAGACCAGGATCTAGGTGAACACCTCGAAGGCAGCAGAAATGCACGACAATGGTCATCAAGGGAGGAAATCTGAAACCATGCTCTGTGGTCCGATGTGAAACTTTGTCTAGTGCAAGTTGCACGCGACATTCAGCTACTGACATGTGGGAAGCTGCATACCATATGGCCAAGTCGTCTACACGCAATGAGACTGATACACCCCCTGGAACCACTGTTGCCACACCATTTATTGCAATGACAAATAGTCACACTCAAGACACTGCCCTGGGGAACACCGCCCTCCTGAATATGTGGTGCTGACATTTTGTGGCAATGCAAACCATAGTGAGTGGTGTTGGGGGTGTGTGGGTGGTGTTTGAGGGTGTGTGGGTGGGGTTTGAGGGTGTGTGGGTGGGATTTGAGGGTGTGTGGGTGGTGTTGGGGGTGTGTGGGTGGTGTTTGAGGGTGTGTGGGTGGTGTTTGAGGGTGTGTGGGTGGTGTTTGAGGGTGTGTGGGTGGTGTTGAGGGTGTGTGGGTGGTGTTGGGGTGTGTGTGTGGTGTTGAGGTGTGGGTGGTGTTTGAGGGTGTGTGGGTGGTGTTGGGGTCTGTGGGTGGTGTTGGGGAGTGTGTGGGTGGTGTTTGAGGGTGTGTGGGTGTGGTTGGGAGTGTATGGGTGGTGTTGGGGGTGTGTGGGTGGTGTTGATGTGTGGGTGGTGTTTGAGATTGGGTGGTGGTTGGGGGTTGTGTGGTGTTGAGGTGTGTGGGTGGTGTTGGGGTGTGTGGTGGTGTTGGGGTGGGTGGTGTTGGGGTTGTGTGGGTTGGTGGTTTGGGTTGTGTGGTTGGTGTTGGTGGGTTGGGGTTGGTGTGGTTGATGGTGGGGTTGGGGTTGTTGTTGGTTGGTGTTGGGTTGTTGGTTGGTTGTTTGAGTTGTTAGTTGATTGGAGTTGTTCGTGATGTTTGAGGTTGTGTGGTTGTTGGGTTGTGGTTGATTGTTTGAGGTTGATTGTTTGGGGGTTAGATTGGTTTGAGTTGATGACGGGTGGTGTTTGGGGTGTTGTGGGTGTTGGTGTGGGTGGTGTTGAGGGGTGTGTGGGTGGTGTGTAGGTTGGGTTGGTGTTTGGCAGGGTGTGGTTAGGTTGGGGCAGTTATTGTGGGTGTGTTTGAGGTGTGTGGGTTGGTGTTTGGGTGTGTGGGTGGTGTTGGGTGTGTGGGTGGTGTTGGGGGTGTGGTGTTGAGTGTGTGGGTGGTGTTTGGGGTGTGTGGGTGGTGTTGTGGGTGTGGGTGGGGTTGGGTGTGTGGGTGGGGTTGGGGGTGTGTGGGTGGTGTTGGGGTGTGCGGGTGGGGTTGGGGGGTGTGGGGTGGTGGTGAGGTGTGTGTGGTGTTTGAGGTGTGGTGGGTGGTGTTGTGGGTGTGTGGGTGGTGTTGGGTGTGTGGGTGGGGTTGGGGTGTGTGGGGTGTTGGGGTGTGTGGGTGGTGTTGGGGTTAGTGTGGTTGGTGTTGGGGTGTGTGGTGGTGTTGAGTTGTGTGGGTGGTTTGAGGGTGTGTGTGGGTGGTGTTTGGGGGTGTGTGGGTGGTGTTGGGGTGTGTGGGTGGTGTTTGGGGGTGTGTGCGTGGTGTTTGGGGTGTGGGGGTGGTGTTGGGCGTGTGTGGTGTTGGGGTGTGTGGGTGGTGTTGGGGTGTGTGGGTGGGGTTGGGGTTGTGTGTGTGTGGTGTTTGGGGTGTGTGGGTGGTGTAGGTGTGGGTGTGGTGTTTGGGCGTGTGTGGGTGGTGTTTAGAGTTATTGATTGGTGTTTGAGTTGTTAGTAGTTGGTGTTTGAGGTGTGGGGTGGTGTTGGGGTGTGTGGGTTGGTGTCAGTTGTTGGTAGTTGGTGTTTGGGGACGTGTGGGTGGGGTGTTTGGAGGTGTGGGGTGTTGGTGTGTGGGTGGGGTTGGGGTGTGTGTGGTGTTTGAGGGTGTGTGTGGTGTTGAGGGTGTGCAGTGTTGAGGGTGTGTGGGTGGTGTTGAGATTGTGTGGGTGGGGTGTGTGGGTGGTGTGTCAGGGTGGTGTGGGTGGTGTGTGAGGGGTGTGTAGATTGGTGTGAGGTGTGTGGGTGGTGTGTGCAGTGGCGTTTGGGGTTGTGTGGGTGGTGTTGAGGTGTGGTAGTTGGTGTTAAACTGTGTTCATGTGTTTGAAGTTATTATTGGTGGTGTTGAGAGTTATTATTAGTTGGTGTTTGGGGATGTGTGGGTGTTTGATTGTTAGTAGATTGGTGTTGGGGTGTGCGAGGTGGCGTTGGGGAATTGTGTGTGGGTGGTGTTGAGGGTGTGTGGGTGGTGTTGGGGGTGTGTGGGTGTTGGAGTTGTGTGGTGTTGGGGTGTGTGGGTGGTGTTGGGGTGTGTGGGTGGGGTTGGGGTGTGTGTATGATGTTGGAGGTGTGTGGTGTTTAAGAGTTAGTGTGGGTGGTGTTGGGGTTAGTGGGTGGGTGTTGGGGTGGTAGATTGGTGTTGGGGTTGTGTGGGTGGGGTTGGGGAGTGTGTGTGTGGTGTGGGTGTGTGTTAGATTGGGGTTGGGGTGTGTGGGTGGTGTTTGGAAGGTGTGTGGGATGTGTTTGCAGAGGTGTGTGGGATGTGTTTGAAGGTGTGTGGGTGATGTTGGGGATGTGTGGGTGGTGTTGGGGTGTGTGGTGTGTTTGAGGGGTGTGTGGGTGGTGTTGGGGTGTGTGGGTGGTGTTGGGGGTGTGTGGGTGGGGTTGGTGTGTGTGTGATGTTGGGTGTGTGGGTGGTGTTTAAGAAGAATTGTGTGGGTGTGGTGTTTGGGGGTGTGTGTGGTGTTTGAGGGTTGAGGTGTGTGGGTGGTGGTAAGCTGTGTTCATGTGTGTTTGAGGGTGTGTGGGTGGTGTTGGGGGTGTGTGGGTGGTGTTTGAGGGTGTGTGGGTGGTGTTTGAGGGTGTGTGGGTGGTGTTTGAGGTGTGTGGGTGGTGTTTAGGGGTGTGTGGGTGGTGTTGGGGTGTGTGGGTGGTGTTGGGGTGTGTGGGTGGTGTTGGGGGTGTGTGGGTGGTGTTTCAGGGTGTGTGGGTGGTGTTGAGGGTGTGTGTGTGTGGTGTTTGAGGTGTGTGGGTGGTGTTATGGGTGTGTGGGTGGTGTTGGGGTGTGTGGGTGGGGTTGGGGTGTGTGGGTGGGGTTGGGGGTGTGTGGGTGGTGTGGGGTGTGTGGGTGGTGTTGAGGGTGTGTGGGCGGTGTTGAAGGTGTGTGGGTGGTGTTTGAGGGGTGTGTGGGTGTTTGAGGGGTGTGGGTGTGGGGTGTGTGCGTGGTGTTTGGGGTGTGGGGGTGGTGTGAGCGTGTGTGGGTGGTGTTGAGGGG